GTGATTCTTTATTGTAATTCCCCTATATTGTGTGCTCAAACTATTTTTAACCACTTCTAGATTGTCATGCAATTAGAGCTTTGCAAAAACTGATGCCAGATTATTTTTTTACCCCACACTAGTCTGCCATACTGTTACCACTTTCTTACTGGGGAAAGGCACTAGGTCAAGGCCTTTTGATGCAACATTTGATGACGAAATTTTCATTTATCACATTTGCATTTTTGTCGTTCTTTATTAATTGTAATCAATGTTTTTGAAAAAAAGCGAAAAAAATGAACCAGGATTCTTCTAGCTGGATGCTAGCGAGTTACCTCTAAACCACAGCTCCCATCATCTAGTGTGGGGAATTGGGCTGAAATACTGTGGGACTTTGATTGCGAGATATCTTGCGATACAGAGCTCCATTGGAAAAACTAAAAGCGGATTCGGAATCTCTATTCAAAGTTCTACAATGGGTGCGCATCAAAAAAGTCACCTTGACCAAAAAAAGGCCTTTCCATAGTTAGAGAGTACGTATGGCATTTTGTCTAGTACTTTTTTCAATTCAATTTTAGTAAAAACAATTGGCAAGCTTAGCTGAATCGGCCGTATCGCTTTAAACATGTGATTTGGTGTGAATCGAACTCTTGAGAGAGAGAGAGAGTGGATCGATCTGCAGTCTTGTGCTAGTCCTCTTTAGGCTCTCTCAGTTCTTTCTCTTTCATCTAGCACATTTTTCCATAAAAGGCGCAAAAATGATGGATAGCATAACAAACTTGTGGGAAAAGATCTGTACAAGAAAACGATCTGAATACCGCAAATATTTGGTTTATAGCTAGATTTGAGTTAACTGGTATAGATCTAACGAAAATTTGCTTCCTCTGTGCCTAACAAGAGAACGTTCTAAAGAGGGTGTGAGACTTTTAAACGGCGAGGAAAACGGCGAGGAAAACGGCGAGGCAAACGACGAAGCAAACGGCGAAGCAAACGGCGAAGCAAACGGTGAAGCAAACGGAAAAGCAAACGACGAAGAAACGACGAAGCAAACGGCGAAGCAAACGGCGAAGCAAACGCCTATCGTACATGACGAATCCGATGCTGTGTTTATTTTTTGCCCACTGGCTTTGGCTTTCAAGAAAAGCACATGCAAAGTTCCGCAAAAGCAGACTCTCACCTCACCTATAAGAGGTCGCCGACGGAAGAGAAAGCAGCGGCGGTCTAGGGATAGTGCGTTAGTCTATCAAATTAGTACTATCTTTGCTCCCGGGTTCGACTCCTCTCGCCGCCCTGCCTTTTGCTTTTTTTTGTAAAACTTTCGCAAAACATTTTTGTAGTCCCTAGGGAGTGTTTGCTTTCAATTTTGAAGTCTTTTTCTTTATTTACATTAGAGATTCCACATTTGTCTTATTGTCTTATTAACATTTGTCTTATTTACTAGGCTTTATTTCATGTCTTGAATAAAGTATGAATAAATTATATTTCAATAAAAGATGTTTAAGGCTTTCAATATGGTTTTACGTTGGCTTAGGCTTTGCTTTGCCTTGGCTTTCAATATGGCTTTGCCTTGGCTTTCAATATGGTTTTCTCATGGCTTTCAATATGGTTTTGCCTTAGCTTCAATATGGCTTTGGCTTGGCTTTCAATATGGCTTTTGGCTTGGCTTCTCAATAGGCTTCTTGCCTTAGCTTCATTATGGCTTTGGCTTTGGCTTCAATATGGTTTTGCCTTGGCTTCAATATGGCTCTTGTCTTGGCTTTCAATATGGTTTTGCCTTGGCTTTCATTATGGCTTTGGCTTGGCTTTCAATATGGCTTGCCTTAGCTTCAATACACATGGCTTTGCCTTGGCTTTCAATATGTTTTTGCCTTAGCTTCAATATGGTTTTGGCCCTTAGCTTTCAATATGGCTTGGCTTGGCTTTCAATATGGCTTTGCCTTTGCTTTCAATAAGTGAGCTTTGCCTTGGCTTTCAATATGACTTTCCCCTTAAATCATTTAAGAAATCTTTTAAAACCATCATTTCCCTTTATGAATTCTTTTAGTCATACTCTAAAAAGCAATTTGTAAACTTATAGAAAGAAAAAAAAATCCTTTCAATTTAGGACTACGGTAGAGTCTGGGGTCTCGTGAAGCGGGCGAATTTCGGCCTGCGGGCTGTTCGACTAGGAAAAAGGAAAACAGAGTAAAAAATTGGAGAGACCCAGGAACAGGGGAAAAGAAAAGGTTCTATAGTTCGCACACACGTATTCGCTTTGGGGGAATGGGGAGAGGGGAGAGGGCCAAATGGGAATGGGAGGCAGTGTTAGGACGCGACGCTGGCTCTTTCCACCCGCAACGCGTCCTCTTTCCCTTCTCTTCCCAAAATCCTCTCCCCCTTTTTCCTCTTCTTTCTCTCGTCTTTTTCCCCCAAAAATCTATCGAAAGAACTCAGCTCTGCTCTTTCTCTCGATGATCACCACATTGATGGCTGTGCACCAAAAATTTTCCCTCTTCTGCCCGACTCGCATCTCGCGTTTTAGCCAATAGGATTTTGTGGATTGTTTTTCAATTTTGCTATGTTTCTATTGCTTGATCGATAGGGCAAGCTGGGTTGTTGGTTTAAGTGACCCCAGCCTAGTCTTGATGCCACTCATTTCAAGGAAAATGCTTTTGAAGTTTGGAAAAACGGCGTCGCCGCGGTATAACGCCGAATTACTTTTCCTCCAATAGATGACCGATTGGTGTGGTGGTTAGTGTTATCGGCCCTGATCCAATTCGGCTCCTAACGGTCCCTGGTTCGAACCCTTTCAATGCTTAATCCGCTTTACTTTTGTTAAAGCATTAATTTGTTAGATGTTTTTAGAGTTTCTATAATCAGTAAGAAGCTAAATGCTCCTAGAGCTAAAGGCTCCTCGAACGATTTTCCCTGAAGCAAAGCTAGTCCTTATATTTTTCCAAGAGTAAACCAACCTTATTGTAATTTGAATTTTATTCGATTAGAAGATTAGATTAGAATGCTTTTATTGTAACGAATTGGTTAGATCAAGCAAGATCAAGCAGATCAAGATTAACTATTAAATAAGAAAGGTAACTATTTGCAGACCAGAAGAAACGACGTGACTTTCTTGTACTTGATTGTAAGATATTTTCTTTGCTTTGCAATCCTTGCTCAATTTATTCACCTATTTTTTAAACGTTCAAGTATGATACTAATCTATTTTTACAGTATCGAAAGCAAAGAAAATTGTCTAATTAACTGTAAGAAACTTGAGAAATGGGTTTGTTTAACGTTTTTAACGCAAGTTCAAAAGTAGCCAGTTTAACGTAGGATTTTCACCTATTTTTAACCTAATACTGAATTTTTACATATTGATTTGATGTGTTTATATAGATTTATATAGATTTATATAGATTTATATTGATTTAGATTGGTTTATATTGATTTATATTGATTTAGATTGATTTATATTGATTTAGATTGATTTATATTGATTTATATTGATTTATATTGATTTATATTGATTTGATGTGATTTGATTTGATATACAGTATTGGATAAGATAATTAGATAAGATAAGATGATGGATAAGTGTTTAATAGATATCTAATCGACTCCTCTATAAGTGAAACGAGAAATTAAGCGTAGATTTGGTGTCAAAAGATCAGTGTTTTTGAGTAAAATTGATTGCATTTTAAATTGTAAAACTCTTGCTAAGCTTTTTTTCATTTAGTCGATAGCTAAAGAACTTGAATATATTGCAAAGATTGTGCAAGTTGAGAAACACAGCCAGCCCGTCAGCCAAGCCTCTTTTCTCTTCGTCGATCGTTCGCAAACGCGACGAAAAGCGAAAAAAAGATCGATCGACCCCAAAGCTTTTGGCTTTAAAAAAAACGGTTTCTCTTTTGGAAATTAAGATTTAATCATTTAAATGTAAATGGGAATTTGTTCTATTCAATTTCTCGCCATTGGCAATTTTTCTTGGCAATAAGCCTTGCCAATTGTGCAATGAGCGGTAGATTTTGAAAAAAGCGATTTATGGAAATTTCTATAACTAATATTTGTAATAAGATATTCAGCTGAATAATTTTGTATCGAATTTTCTCTATTGCTAGAGTTTTTGGTTAAACTGGTCGAATTGACTAAACGGTTTTTTGTTTAGAAAATTTTCCTGTTATAGCTCTTTTATTGTCCCATTTTTAAGGTTAAGCTAATAGCTGGCTTAAGCTAATAGCATTTCCCCCTTATACTTTATAAATATTCAGTTTTAGTTAGATATTAACTTTAGATTCATGATCTAGAGCTCACTAGGACCCCTAGGACCACTAGGGTCCCCTATTACACCTTGGGCCAACCTTTCGACAAGCTAATCCCCAATAAAACTCTCCAGAAATTGATTAAATCACTTTAATTTCAGTTTAATTCAATAAATATCACTACAACTTTCCGTTTATACTTTATAAATATTCTAGGAAATATTCAGTTTTTGTTAGAATTTCCCTTGGGTGAAGAGAAATGGGTAAAAAAGAGATCCACGTCGGCGCTATTTTGACCCGCTTCGACGCGCGCGCGACGATCGATCAAAAAGACAAAAAAGAGGAAAAGAACCGCTTTTTGCTTTTTGTCTTTATGTCTATTGGGAAATAGCAATTGCTAAATCAAATCGTTTCTTTTCTCTTCGTAAAAGATTTGGCAAAATATGAGCACAATTGTTTTTTCTAGTGGTTAGCTATTTTTCTGGAATCAAGAAAATCGATTTTATTAGCTGATTCTCTTTCCCTTATATCTATTCTAGTATTAAATTCAAAAATTAGAGATTTTTGCTAGTTTCCCAACACCAACGCATCACTGGTTATATTCGTATCGATTGATTTCAAAAGGCGATCCAAATTTTCAAATGTTTACTCGACAATTTGAATCTGTGGATGGATTGCATTTATTTAATTTATTTAATTTGTTTAATTTCTTTTCATTTATTCTTTATCTATGTTTTCTATGTTTTTTTAAAGATTATAATTTTAACTTACAGAATCCTAGAGGCAATGCACGACGAAGGCGGAGAAGCGGGCGGTTCTTGCGGTCACTCAGCCGCACAACACGACGATCCATCCGGAGCCACCGCGCAACAAATGTTGAACGATTCAATCTCGGAAGGGATCTCAAGTCCGCATGGTAGATTCTAGATTTATGTTTTTAGGGCTTAAAATGTAGAGATCTTAGATATCTAGATATTAGAATGAAGGATTTAAAAGCGGTACTAGATCTAGGAAAACGCATAGGAGCAATCCATTAGTCTTTGGCTAAAAAGATTGATTATAGTATAAGATCTTAGATATCTAGATGTTAGAATGAAGGATTAAAGTTAAATAAGTTTATTTGTATATAGATATAAAAATACTAAGTAAATAAAGAAAGACAATTCATAGGTTGCATTTGTAAATCAAATGGCTTTAAAAAGTTTAAGTATACTAGCCTTTTTAGCCATATTTAGACATATACTATATCCGATTTAGATTTTTATCCGATTTAGACTCAATCTAAATCGTATAATCGGCCTCAACAATAGTTTTAACAATTGCTGCGTTGGTAAATCATGTTTTTGTCATGTTTTTAACAGCTTTAGATGGAAATGGCTTTAAAAAGTTTAAGTATACTAGCCTTTTTAGCCATATTTAGACATATACTATATCCGATTTAGATTTTTATCCGATTTAGACTCAATCTAAATCGTATAATCGGCCTCAACAATAGTTTTAACAATTGCTGCGTTTGTAAGTCATGTTTTTGTCATGTTTTTAACAGTTTTAGAGGCAATTTGGCGACATCAACGACATAAAACTAAAACTGAGTACACTTTTCTTTAAAAAAATGGCTAAATTTGGTAAAAAGTTACGGGTTTTCCTATGGCTTTTGACCTTTTTTGGTTTAAAACGATTTAGTGCAAACACGTATCAAAAACATGACAAAACATGACAAAAACATGATAAAAACATGATAAAAACATGATAAAAGCATGATTTATCAACGAACCAATTGTTAAAACTATTGTTGAGTCTAAATCGGATATAAAACATACATATAGTTAACTAGTTCCAGGTTAAACCATCTTCATAATCTAACGCAGTTTTCTTACAATTTTGAAACAATTATATAGATGAAAACAGAAGCAAAAAATGATCAAAAATGACAAAACGATTACAAAATTACCAGTTAGAAAAAGTCTTTTGATTCTTGAATAGCTTTAGAAACTGATTAAATAGTTTTCTGGGGTGGGCGGGGATTAAACTTGTGCAAGTAAACGATTCTTGCCGACAGCGAGGCTTTTATTCTTGTGCAAGAAAATGAGAACTGTTATAACTTTCACTAGTGAATCAAAGTTTAAATTGAAAATAATCCAATAAATTCTCCTTTCAGAATGCGGTGGCTCGACTACGCGAAAGGAGAGCTCGCCATTCGCGCGTTTTCCTCGCTATAGCCACGATTTGCGTCACCATCCGCCATGTGGACATAATTTACGGTAAATTTAAAAGAAAATTTAGATCTTTCTTTAGATCTTAAAATCGTAAAATAGAATCTTGTTGATTTAGAAATTTCAGGAGTAAACGTTTGAACGGGATCTCGGTGGCGTGTCAAACCGATTCAACTGACGAGTTTCCGAGAGAACAGAATTTGTTGGCGGTGCGAGGTGAGTGTAAGAAAGGGTAAAAGTAATGAGGGAACAAAATTCACTAGATTTCATTTAAAATTGTTGATCTTTCGACTATTTTGGATCAAACACAAGTCTAGAATTGACTTTGGAAATGTCTACTCAGTATTATTTGACTTATTTACTACATCTATTCTATATAAGTTGATAAAATGATATAATTGATAGTGATAGAGTTGATAAAATTCCCTAGTTAAACTGGATAGCTATCTTCAGATCTATTTGATCCAAAATTTGATTATTTTCTATCCAAAAATCCTATTTGATTAACAATTGATCAACAACTTTAAGCTAAGCTTAAAGAAAAAGGTTCACGGATGTTTCTCCGTTCTCCGAACTAAGATTTAGCTGTCCAATCAATTTTTAGCATCTTTAGTGTGCGAACAAGACTAAATCTTTATCTAAAACTAAAATTTCAGCCGCTCAAACGGAAGCCTCATCCTCGTCATCGGAAGGAGTGCTCCGATTGATGATACAGAATTTTCCGAATATGAACGACACCGTGCGAGGACCAAGTAAAAAGATCAACGGGGTGCAATGGTCAGTTTTGAAAATGATACTGATGAAATGACTAATTCGAACTCAAACCAATAACACTTAAAACAAGAATCCAATTGTTAGCCAAAGTTTTTAAGAACGCGTCCAAAGGTGCAACGAAAGTTCGAAGCCATCTTGCTTTTAGCGCCAACATTTAGGTTTTAGATAAAATTATTTGAAAAACGGTTTAGAAATTCGAAATCTAGATGAAATTTTGGTCTAGAAGAAATTTCTTCAGCAAAAACAACCTTTTCAGCCATATTTTCTTGTGAAACAATAGCTAAAAGTTGAAATTTGATTACGATTACTTTTTAAAGCTATAAGTTTTCCCATTCAGCTTCAATAAACCTCAAATTTTGCTATTCGTTTAGAAAGATTTTAGAAAATAGAATTTCTTTTGACTGACTACGTTTAATTAGAAATTTCAGAAAATTCAGATGGTTTTTGAGAGAAATTCAAGCGACAAGCATTTTGATTGATTCTGGCGATATATTGCCAATTAAAAGCCTTGATCTTTCCTTGTAAAGCCTTAAATTTAACATAAACTTTCTATAATTACAAACTTTTATAAGAATATTCAGCATTGGATAGTTTTTTTTTGTTAGTTTAAAAGCTGAATTTGAGGATTGAAAAGCAGGTGGCTTTGAACTTTTGCAGCATATAACCAGCTGAAATCTTCTCGCTTTGTCTAATCGATTTTCGATTCAATTTAAATAGCAACATTGAAAAATGAAGAGAAAAATGAAAGATAAAACAAAAAAATGATCTAAACGCTTTCTTTTAGGAAGATCATGGTGATGCCGAGACAACACGTCGTGCAGAAGAAAAGGCACACAGAAATGTCTCGGTTTCTTTCTGCAATGTTGCCCCTGATGCGTACTCGAGTGAGTTTTTTTTGTTAAGAGAAAGCCATATCTGATAACTTTCACAAGGATGACAAATAAAGTAAATATAAATCGAGTAATACAGCAAATACAGGGCAAACAAAGGAAAAGTTTTGTCCGCATTAATAGATTTTATAATAAAACTTCCTCAAAATAGAGTAAAATGAAAATAAAATTTAGAAAATTCGACTATTTTTCTTTTTATACATTTTTGTTTTAAAGAGGAATAGCTTTTGAAGTTTATTTTTAATGTTTTTTCAATCTACGCAACTCCATTAAACTCCCGCCATTTTTAAGCTCAACTAACAATGTTTAAGACGCTGAAAATCGATAATTTCAAAAGCAATTTGACTGTCTAAGCTATAGTTTTTATAGAAAAACTATTCTTCTTTTAGATAGGTTATCAAAAAAAGGAAATCAAAGCTGTTTAGAGAAGAAATTGTAGAAAATTGATACGCGATCAAACTGAAAAACGGTATTGGCTCACAGAAAATACCGTTTTTCTGTGAGAAAATATCGTTGCCAATACTAAAAAAGTTTTTGAAACCATACTTTTCCTATCTCCAGGGTTAACGTAGAGTAAAAATCATTAAAAACCATTAAATTTGTAATCAAACCATGTAAACAAGAGTAACCATTCAAATTTGAGACACTTTAGGCTTTTACAGCTTTTACTTTTACAAGTTTTACAAGTTTTATTATAAAGATAAATCTACTAATGCGAACTTTTCACTTTGTATCTAAAAATTGCAGTGCTTGGCAATGTCAAGCGTCGGCGGAGTTGCGTTTGATCTCGCAGAAGCCGGGCGTCAACCATTTCACCCGGAAAACGAATCACATCTACACGGCTAAGGAGAACGATTGGGGATACTCGTGCTTCATGACGTGGGCGGTGAGTGCAATGTTTTTTGATGGATCTTAGAGATTGTGAATCCTGTTTGTAGTGTAGGCTTGGTTGGATTTGATTGGATCAAACCTGTAGATTTAAGTCTAGTTCGTAGCCTTACAGCCTCAAAGTATTCAATCATCAGGACAGTGTCTTTCAATCATCAGGACTGTGAATTTTTCACTTGAAATTACTCAGCCTTGTCTGTAATTTGCATTAGAATTTAGCTAGGTTATCTAGAAAAACTAGACTTTTACAGTATCCAAATCTAATCGCTTTTACAGAAGCTTGTTAATCGAATGACTGTAGAAATATTTGCCTAAAACCAAAGCCTCGTTTACTTTGTTAAAGTCGGACCAGTCAAACCGGCTCTGGATCAGTTAGACTTGAATCTAGGCCTGGTTTCATAATATATCTATTGAATTATTGAAATGTTTTAAATAGATAATCAAATTTTAATGCTATACTCTACCGTTTTATCAATTCCTTAATTTCCAGGACATTTTGGAGGAAGACCAAGGCTATATCAAAGACGGTCGAGTCGTTTTAGAGGTGTCTGTTAAAGCGGACACGCCAAAAAACATCTTGTAAGTGTTTCACAGGAAAAACATTTGTATTCTTCCAATTTTCAGGACCTATGAGGACTTTCAAAAGCAAATTCAAAGCTGGTACGACCTGGCGGAACTACAGCAACAGCGAGGATTCATCGATTTGGCATTGGAGGCGAACGCGCAAGCGTTGAAATTCTGCAAAGTGAGTGCAAAATTGACTGAAACTGAGTGATCCAGCGATTGCTTTTGTTTTAAAGTGCTAGAAGTCAAACCTCTAGACCTGTACCTTGGTTCACAAGGAGTCCTTGTACCAGTCAAATCCAGGACTAGGGCTTACAGATCGTAGGCCCGGTCGGAGCATTCCTGTTATAAGAATAGATCCTACTCAGTGATCCACTCAGCTCCAAGCTTATCATTGATTTAAATATTGAATCAAATTATTGAATTTGTGAACTGATAAGTTTAACTACTTGGGTTTGAGAGTATTCTCGAGCGCATAGAGAACACTGTTCTAATACTTGAAAACAACGAAAAATGTGAGTATTCTATTGTTTAGCAAGCTCTCAACAGTTCCAAACAGGTCCTAGATTTTGTTATACATACTGTTAACTGTTAACAGTTTTTGGTTGGAAGCTAGCCCAGTCCTAGTCGAGCTCTAGCTTCTGACAATAGACTTTGTCGGCCAGATAATAAAAAAGTGAAGGATTTGGCAAAAGTGGGTTTCTGGAGAGGGATTGAGCCTTTTTGCCTTGATCTTTCGGGCAATTGCTCTAACCACTGAGCTATTCGGTACTTTAACTTGTCAAGAGAAAGAGGGAAAGACAAGGAAGAAGAAGAAAGAAAGAAGGAAAGAAAGGAGGAAATAAAAGGAAGAAGAAGAAAGAAAGAATGAAATACTGGTCTTCAAAACCTTTAGAATTCATAAATGAACTTGTAAGAAATACAAATTCATTTAAATATTTTTTAGATTAATTTTTCCTTTTCAGGACCGTGATGCAGCGATCAAAGAACGTTTGGAAGAGCAGAAGAAATTTTTCGTCGAGCGAAAACTTGTCGAGAGTATTCAGAGGATCGAGCAGAAAGGTTTGTTAGATTAATTGAAAAATGATTTACAGAGTAATGATGAGAAATCGTTTTTTTTTTTCTTTCTCAAATCATCGTTCTTATGTCCAGATTTTTGTGAAGGCTTATAGTGATCAAGGAAAGGGATTTAAGAGAAAAAGTTTTGTTGTTTAAAAGAAAGACGACAGAAAAGTTTTGTTGTTTAAAAGAAAGACGACTTTTTTGTCGGTTTTAAAATTTACCATCAAGTCAGTTTTACTAATCAATTCAAGAACAAAATAGACGATTACCATTTTCCTAATAGTAGTTAAAGGTTTTCAAGGTAAATTAAAGCTTTTCAAGGTAAACTCATGTTTTCCTTTTCTTTATTCAATTTTGCGTTGCTCAATTGTTTATTAAATGACTTAAAACAGTAAAAAATTATATAAAAATCGACTTTCTATCTAATGTTTATTAGAATTTTTGAATAGTTTCTCTTTTTTTTCTGTTAGTGGTAGACGATTGGCTATTGATTGATTGAGAATAGAGAAAAGATGGAAAGAAGAGAGAGTCAGAGATGAAGATGGATATGAAAAGAAAAGATTGCATAGATTGGACAGAGTTCGACGAGATCACGAAAGAATCAGTTTCGCTTGAGTTTAGTCTATAGAAATCGATGATAGTTACCGGGAAACTATAAAAATGCTATTTATATTGTAAATATTGTAGCAAATATTGTAATAAAAATGAATTTTAAAATAGTTTATAAGGTTGATAGTCGATTTTGCTTTACAAATAGCCCTTAATAGTAATCAATCTCTAGATATTTAACACTTCGACAACAATTTTAGTTTCCAAAACTTTCTAGAACCTTTTTTATCCCAGTTTTTAATACTCTGTTTATCCAGGAGAAGCTAATTAAGTCACTAGATAAATTCTTTTTCTTTTGCTTACCTAAGAATCAAATTATGTTGAAGAGAAAGTCTTTGCCGATTTTTTGAGTTTTTAGACTTGTCCAATTTTGACGTGTAATAGCTCATTTAAAAGCTAATTTAAAGCTAATTTCTAGGAATTAAATAAAAATCGTTTGTTCTATATAAAAACAACAAATTTTCTTTTTTTAGAGCACTGAAAGTGGTGATTTTTGTTTTTTAATTTCAAAGTTTTTACAACCGTTTTACTGAGGGGCGTCAGAGTCCAAATTTCAAAAAAATGAACTTTGTTCATTCTTTTTGTAAGGAAACCTAGATTGAAATCATGTTTTTTAGAATCAGCATCGAAAATTACCCTAGATAACGCAAAACTCATCATTTTAGCAAAATTTTTTCAAAAGAAAACCTGCCGCGCACCGGGGTCGAACCCTTGACCCTCAGATCACCGCTTTCAGAGCTCTAAAAAGGGAAATTTATTCCTTTTTCCTCTTCTTTGTTTTTGTACTAGTCTAAAACTGAGTTTTAGATGACTATGGAGTGTCAATTTGATCTGATAGAACGGCAAAGACTTTCTCGCAAACCTAATAGTCTTTCAATCAAGCATTTAGCCTTTAGACTTTAGCATTTAGTTTTTAGCCTTTAGCCTTTAGACTTTAGCCTTAGCCTTTAGGACTTTAGACTTTAGCCTGTAGCCTTTAGCCTGTAGCCTTTAGCCATTAGACTTTAGCCTTTAGCCTTTAAAACTTAAAGCCTTTAAAAACTTGTCTCTAACTCTTCTCGCATACATTATACTCCAAAAAACGATTGAAAAAAAGAAAAATGGGAGCTATTTGCCTAAGTGGGGTAGAGTGTGATAAAAAAGGGAAAAGAGGAAAAAGAGAAAAAGCGAAAGAATCGGTGTGTCTCAAAAAATTTTTTGCGTTCTTTTCTCAACTGGACACGTGCTAACTTTACAGCCAAAGTGATTGAAAGAGGAAAAGGATTGGGGAAATTTGAGAAATTAGAGAAAAATGGAGAAAAGAAGAGAAAAAAAAGTGAAGAACGGTCATGTAAATACTCAGGTTGGGTGTGTTGGTTAGGTGAATGGGGGAAAGGGGGAAAGTGGGAGAAGCTTTTGCTTTTTTTTTTTTTGAGAACTAGAAGAATTGATGATGGTTTGAAAAAGTGATTTGTGAATAGATAAATTATCGATTTCTAATAGATAGATCAAAATTTCAATCTTTGATACTAGAGAAACGCTACAGATACAGGGTGCGGCAAAAGTTCCGACACTTTTTGTAAACGGGCAGTTTGACTTGGAAAAAACGCGATTTTTGAAAAACTAACACCGGATTATCAAAATTCAGATTTTTTACGCCCTAATATACTTTTACACAAAAATCGCTATCTAAACAACCTTTTGATGAGAATGTTTAAAGGTCGTTACAGCAGTTTTTTTTTTGCTGTTGAGATTTGGGTGCCCTTTGTATTAGGTTGTCCAATAAGTAATGCGTGTTACTTATTTCGATGTTACTCATCGAAACCAGCTTCATTCTATTATGACGGACTTCACCCTTTGCTCGGACGATGGAGAAATGTTGTTGATTGTTGTGGAGAATATATCGATTATTAAAGTTCTCTTTTGTTAATTTTGTGATATTTTGAAAATCGTGTCAAAACACGCATTACTTATTGGACAACCTAATATTGGGTTGATGCATAATTATCCGGACTTCTTTTATAAATGATTTTATTTAACAAAAAATAACATAAATAGTTAGAAAAATATGTTTAATTGATTATTCTGGAGCATATTCACCGCCTACATCAATAACTGATTGCCATTTGCTTGGAAGACGATCGATTCCACGAGCGAAGAATAAACGATCTTTGGAGGCAATCCACGCTTTAACATCGTCTATCAAGTCATCCAAATCGTTGTAGATCTTATTTGTTTGCCAATTTTTGAGCGATCGATTGACGTGGTAGTCCGTTGGGGCTTCTCCAGTTCTTTGAGATCGCGAAACGACTCTGCGGCAGACCATCCCTTTTCGAAGTGGTAGAGCATGATATGGCGAAGATGGATATGATTGTCGACACGCATTTTGTTCACTAAAGAATAACGAATATTTTAAAAAAGAAATAGACAAAAAGCTTTCAAAACAAAAAGATACAAGCACGCAAAAGAAGTCCGGATAATTATGCATCAACCCAATAGAATAGCTTGAAAATTTTTCGTTTTTGAGATATCAATTTTTTTTTTGTGGCTTGTTTTTAAGAAAAAAAAAAAACTCAGTTCTATCAAATGGTAACAGCAGTTTTTGGAAAAAATTTCATTCTGCAAAGTTTAAGTCAACTTTCGCAAAAATCTTCGGCGACCAGACCGGGATATAAAAAATTCTCGTCAAAAAGTTATTGAGAGTTGAAATCTTTTTATGAAAATGGCTATATTGGGGTGAAACTACGTAAATTTTTAGAATCCGGCGTTAGTTTTTTGAAATTCACGGGGTTTTTGAAGCCAAAAAAAATGACTGCTTACAGAAAAAGTGTCAGAACTTTTGCCGCACCCTGTATCTGGCAAAGAAAACGCCGCTATTTTCGTTTATTTTTAGTTTATTTCTTTAGTTTATGACTAAACAATTTTGTTGTTTGTTTTTAGTTTCTAAAAACAGTTAGTGTTAGTTTCTGCTTTAGTCTAGTGGCTAGTGAACTAGAATATCGTAACTGTTGGATTTTGATGCAATTTCGCTTTGTATTTAGCATTTGTTTGCGATCAAAAATCGACTTCTAACGAAGTTCTGGTTAAACTGAATGAATAATTGAAAGTAAATAGGCTATTAAACAAATAAAAGCTGCAAAAAGTGCCAAAAAAAGAGTACAAAAATCCTATCATCGAATCTAGAAACTTACACAAAAACATTGATCATTTATTTATCTTTATTTATCTTTATTTATAGGTACATTGACAAGCGTGCCGGATGATGAGAACGCCTCGCAAAATGCTGTTCGATTGGCGCTCACTCAGAACACTGCTCAGAAAATACCAGCTGTAAAAGGAGGAAAAATGGGAAGAAAAAATCCGACCAATAAAAAGGTTCGTTGAAAAGAGAAAAAAGAACAAAATTATTGAAAAATGATGAAAAATCGTTTTTTTTGTTCCACTTTTTGATAAAAAAAGAAGCCGAGTTTTTATCATTTTTCAATCACTTTTTCTAAATTCTGGTTAATGCTAGAAATATGTTCTATATCTCAAAAAATTACCCATTTTCTCTACTTTAATTTGATACCTAAACGAGTGGAAACAACAGCACTGGTGTTGAGATATGAGCGTTTGTTTGAAGAGTAAACTTAGACTACGCGACGATCCTATAGGGGCTTCTGGAGTATTTAACAATGATTTGAAGTAAGTAATGTAGGTACAGGTGCTACAAGAATCTTGTAGGAATAGATCTTTGTTGTGAATTGATTGTGAGACCTTTTATACGCGAGGCCCCGCCCCTTTTCTCCATTAGCAATCTAACTTTGAGCTCAAATTTCTTGGTGTTGAGCTGTTCAATTTAAATCTTCTTGGTATCATTAGATGCGGCAAGTCTTTCTCTATCGATTGGTACAAAAACTATTGAAATTGGACATTCCAGCACCAAGAAATTTGAGCTGAAAGTTAGATTACCAATGGCAAAGGGACGGGACCATTGTAAGACCTTTTATACGCGCCCCGCCCCTTTTACCAATCTAACTTTGAGCTCGAATTTCTTGATGTTGTTCAATTTATAAATTATTGATCTCATTAAATTAAATGAAACTGGCGGGGCGTATATAAGATGGCCCAGTGGCCCCGCCCCTTTTCCCATTGACAATCAAACTTTGAGCTCAAATTCCTCGGTGTTTGGCCGTTCAATTTAAATAGTTTTTATACTAATCGATAGAGAAAGACTTAGCGCATCTAATGATATCAAGAATACTGAAATTGGACCGCCTAACATCAAGATATTTGTACTCAAAGCTAGATTGCCAATGGCAAAGGTGGCGGAGCTTGTATCAAATGACTGATAACCTTCAAAAATTCAGAAAAATCGTGCCTCAACTCCACCGGGCAATCCACCAACGGAAAACAAAGATGACAGCAAAGATGGAGATGAGAAAGTGGACGTGAAAAGTGGACGATTCTCGAAGAATGTTCTCCTTCGTGGACATCGAGAGGATAGTTATGCAAATTTGGCAAAACAATTCTACGAGATGCCACCAGAAGCGATCCAGCTGGATGAACAGGACACTAGGGTGAGTGATTTTTGCTTGGGATTTGAAAAGAAACAGTTTTGGGAAGACTTTTCATGGATTGAAAGCTGAAAACTGAAATTGTAAGCTCTGGATTGAACGTTGAAACTAGAAAATCACCTAGATTCTGTAAAAATTCGAAATTTCTATTTTCAGGACGGTTTAAGCTACATGTTTGATCAACTCTTTCATGTCGCTCGTTTGGACTATCCAAACAAATTCAATTCAACCCCTTTGGACATGGAGTTACAAAGACAATTGATCATCAAGAAAGCGACGATGTTCGTTGAAGCATATATGGAAAGAGTGAATCGAGGCGAAGATTTGGTGGAAAGTGAACCGGAAGAGGCGATCAATGAGATGGATTTGAGTAATTTATGGCAACCGACATTCAAGGAAAGCACAGAGGATCGAGCGTTTATCATCGAGAAGAATATGGGATGGTTGGACGCAAAAGTGAGACTGTTTTGGGTAGGTTTTCATTGTTTTAAGTGATTTTAAAAGGAGATATTGGATAGGGTTTTATCTGAGGAAGAATTTGGTGTTTAATAGCACCGCTGCTTGTCTCTAAATGGTGTCATAGTACCGTAGTCTCATTCCAAAAAGCTTTCCCACTACCGTAGTTCGATTTTAAAGTAACAAAAGGTGTCCGATTACTGTAGCTCGATTCTAAAAGCTATTAAACTATTGTATGTTGATTGTAAAAGATCTCTTACTACTTAATCCGATTCTAAAAACTGCCTTATTACCATAATTTGTTTTAGAATGATAACGAAAACATCTGTCGGTTCTTTTTATCGTTGATAAAGGTCTTTCGTGTTTTCTCAGCACCAATCCTTCGATTTTGTCTATTTTGACTTTCATTTAATGCAGAATAAAATTGCGCGTCGAATGATACCAAAATTAACTCAAAATATAAAATCCATGCAAAGTTATTAACTAAAAACCTAAACCCCGCCCATTTCTTAACCTTTTGTCTCATAACTTTACATGGATATTACATTTTAAGTTAATTTTGGTATCATTCGACGCGTAACTTTATTCAGCATCGAATGAAAGTCAAAATCAAAGGATTGGTGCTGAGAAAACACGAAAAACCTTAAATTGCCAACGGCAAAGATTAAGTCCCGCCCATAATAGGCGGGGTTTTGGTTTTAGTTAACAACTTTGCGTAGATATTATATTTTAAGTTCATTTTGGTATCATTCGACGCGCAATTTTATTCTGCATTGAATGATAGTCAAAAGAGTCAAAGTCAAAGGATTGGTGCTGAGAAAAACACGAAAAACCTTAAATTGTCAACAGATGTTTTCGTTACAAGTCGAATTTATTTCTAAAAATTTCCTTATTTCAGTGGTTTGATTTTAAAGTGTTTTTATTGCGGTAGTTTATTACCGTAAATCCGTAATGTTTCTACCGTAAGCCAAATGTTGACTTAAAAGTTTGAGAATTTGTTTAAACTTTAGTCTTTAGCTGTAAAATAGTCAGTCAGAGTCAGCGTTTTTCAGTCAGACACTTTTTTCACTAGATTCTTTAAATAGCTTATTTTACCTTTATTTTCTTTCTAGAATAGGGTTTTCTTTAAAGCGACAGCAATCGTTTTAAAGAAAACCTTCATTACCGTAGTCTGGCTAATCTTTACCTTCATTACCGTAGTCTGGCTGATCTTTACCTTCATTACCATAGTCTGGCTGATCTTTACCTTCATTACCATAGTCTGGCTGGTCTTTACCTTCATTACCGTAGTCTAGCTAATCTTAAAAAAAGAAAAAAACCTTTCTCCTATGAAAAATATAACTCGTATAGAATTTCATCCAGTTGGAGGACGATTGCTCATTCTCTGACGGTGCTTCATGCTCATCGGAAAGCGATTCGGGCAGTGGTGACGGGCCACAATTGAAGAGGAGTCGCTGTGATGTGGACGAGCGCTGTGATCATTGCATTCTCGCCGAGAAACTCGAGCAACTCTATTTTGGTCGAGAAACCGTAAACGAACTATTGAAGGATCGTTTTTCAGTTGGACCGAAAAAATCGGACAGCGAATGTCAGACGGAGCCCTTCTGTGAGACGGTGGTGTTGGCACAAAATGAGGCCGCGAAAAAGGTAACGTCTTTTATTCTGTAGTAGAAATTGTAATTAGAACTTGTACAGTACGAAAGAGTACGAAACAGTACGAAAGTTTTTGTTTAGAATCCAGCCGTTGGCGAAACAGTGCCCGTTCCAACCGTTCGCTTGAATGCTACGCAACGCTCAAATCGACAAATCAAAACGGTGACGAAGAAAAACACGGCGGTTAGCGGAAAAGCTGCGGCAAATGCTCAAGTGATCAGTCAACAGTTGGCAGCAATGCAACAAGCACAGCTAACACAGGTAGATAGGAAACGTACGTACAGTGACAAGAGATAATCCGTCGTTAACCTCAAACTCTCTACTTGAGAAATTCTGAAAAGAAAAATGGAATAAGAAAGCCGAATTTTTAAAATATTAAACCGTCCTATAAGATTATTGATATCAAAGAAGTAGTGAAAAATAAATGGATTTAAACAATTCACATAAGATTTCATCTTTTAAATCCCATATTTTCAGCCACCAATCCCACCACCAACCTCAATGATGCCACCACCACACGAAATGCTCGACGCCTCTCAATTCGTCCAAGGATTGGTAAGTTGAGCTGACTTTTTTGGTGCCTTGTATAATACGCGTTGACGCTTCAAGAAAATACGCACCAACTTTGCAGTTCGTCATATTTAATAAGGCATTTTGTAAGATACAAAATAGAATTACGAAATGTTTTTATTAGAAAATACAGACTGACAGTCTATTTAGCAATTTAGGCGCCGGTGAAGCCGGTGCGTATTTTCTTGAAGCTTCAGCGCATCTTATGCAAAGTGCCCTTTTTTTTGCGTGAACGCATGTTTGTCAACAATATAGGGCACCCTTTTTTTTGAATGCTAGAGTTGTGAGCTTTAGTCGTTTTTTTCTGGAAAAGTTTTGCTTTTGCTGTTTATTTTGATTTGTTCAAAAGTTCAAAGAAAAGAAAAAGCTCTAGAAAGGAAAAAAATCTTCAGAAAAGATTCTAAATTAACGAGATTTTCGAAAAATAAACAGCAAAAGTGTGATTGTGTTTGGGAAATGTTAGAAGAAAAAGAAAAGAAACTGGCCAGGGCACTCGGTGTTTTTTTCAGGCGGCTGCCCATTTGGCCTCAATGCCTCCACCACCCGGGCTGAGCACTGAAGATCTAGAGAAACAGGTAGAAATAGAAAAAAAAAATCACACGGGAAATGATTGTTTATGTGAAATGAACGTGCTTAGCAATGCGTTTACTTTGAGCTCTAGAAAACACATCTTCTGGCACGCTTAGGCACGTGCTAGAGAGAGTGCGTTTACAGCCGATCACTTTGTACTTTGTGCTCTTTGTAACACACCTTCTGGCACACTTAGATTTAGACAGTGTGCCAGAAAATGTGTGTTTACTAGAGCATAAAGTACCAGTGTTTGGCTTGTGTACGTTGTGCTTTCCAAACGTGTACCTTCTGGTAAACAAATTGCTAAATAGGTTCATTTGCATAAAATTGTTAAAGTACTTTATTTAAAGTACAATTCAATTCAATGCACAGTCTTTTATTGCTTAAATGTGCACGATTCTCGTAGTTTTTTTTTGTGTTGGTGATAGCTTTTTTGTAGGTGATATGCTCAAATTTTGTTCAAGTGCACCTGGGGAAAAATCTTTGGGAAAATTTGAATTTGAAAATTTGTGTGTTTAACTCTCAAAAATTCAGTTCCGCGAGTGCACAAACGAGATGCAAGTGGACGAGTCGACAAACGAGTTCTTGAAGCACACTTTCGCGAGAGTTTGGACGATGATGAGAGGATTCGATGATCAAACGGTAAATGTGAGTTTTCAAAAACTTAAGCTGAAAATATTTCGCTTCAAAAATCTAAGCAATAAACAAATGATAAGCCTGTCAAAATAGCCACAGGCGATTTTAGTGAAAAAAAAATTGATTGCTTGATTTTGAATCGACGTTTTTGGTCGAGTGACTACGAAGTAATCCTCCTTACACGTCCAGTAAATTGAATATCTTTACATTTGAAGGGAATTTGCCACCAAATCAGTTAAACGGCTGAATATCTTTAGAGCCATATAAGTCGACGCTCGTGTTTTTTCGCGCCAATTTTTTGCGATAATTTTCAAAATGTTTGAAAATTTGTCAATTTTTAATCTTTTTAAAAACGCATTACTGCTCTATTGCTTATATTCTTTAAAATTAAGGATTCAATGTGCCAGCCGGTGTACGTTACTGATTTGTAGCTCTAAAATTTTTGATTTAAAATTTATTGACAAGTTTTGATTGTTTAAAAAGCTCGAAAGTTTTTGATTTTAAAGAAATAGACACGTTTGCTTAAAAAGCTTTAAAGTTTTTTTTGATCTAATACGGTTCCAATACGGTTTTTTTTTGATCTAATACGGTTCTAATACGGTTCCAATACGGTTTTTTTGATCTAATACGGTTCTAATACGGTTCCAATACGGTTTTTTTGATCTAATACGGTTCTAATACGGTTCCAATACGGTTTTTTTATCTAATACGGTTCTAATACGGTTCCAATACGGTTTTTTTGATCTAATACGGTTCCAATGATTTTAAATAAATATACAAGTTTTGATTGTTTAAAAAACTGTATTTCTTTTATTTTAGTCGCAACTCAACCCCGAGGTGCCGAATGTTTACGAGGGAAATCTCTACAATCCGTATCCAGGACAAGTGGTAAGCTTGAATTTTTAAGTATAACTGTAAGTATTTAAGTATAACTGTAAGTATTTAAGTATAACTGTAAATTGTAGTTATTTGTACTAGAAAACAAAATCTAATGAGAATACATTTGCAGCTACCGAATCAACAAGTGAACATCGCGTTGTCGGTGATCGCCGTGTGCTGTTTGAACGCGAAAAAAGCCGAGGAGAAGCTCAGCGCCATCACGCAACACATCGACAAAAAGTGAGGGTTTTTTGAAAATATTGGAAATTTTGTTAGGGCAAGTAGTTTTAAACAGACTAAGTTGACACAAAAGTAGCAGAATGTAGGGCAAAAGAAATTCCAAACGAATTTGACAAGTTCGTTTAATTTCACTTTTGCTTTTCGTCTCTCGTCTCTTGGCTGATTATTCTAGAATTTTATCGATAAGTTTACAGCCAAAGACAAAATTGGACGGCTAAAAACTACAGCTAAAAACTACAGCTAAAAACTACAGCTAAAAACTACAGCTAAAAAACTACAGCTAAAAAACTACAGCTAAAAACAATTGAACGATTTGCCAAGAAATGTCTAATTGTAAGGAAATGAAGGTGAAACTAGGCGATTTATAATCTAATATGATCAAATTTATAATTTATATAATAATGAAAGCGATTTATGATTTCTATGAGCAAATATACCTTTAGTTGTTGCAAACGAAAGTCACGCTGGTTTTGAAAATAGTTTTTTAGCCATTTTACAAAATAACAATTTTATTGAGAGGAGAAAATGGATAGGACGCCCTCACTAACCATAACCATTCGGTTACAAGGCATTTTTTGACGTAATTGAGCATTAGAAGCTGGACGAAACCAGGAATTCGTAAAAACCTTTCAAAAATCATGAACTTTGAAGCCATTTTTCTCAAAAATTTTGTCTGTCTAGTACATTGGAGATCTACTTTTTCGGATTCAGGAAATTTTTCAATAAAATAGGTGTTGTTTTTCAATAAAATAGGTGCTGGAGGCGGTGTACATCCCTTCTCAGGGACAAAGCCTGCTCTTTTAAGAAATTCTAGTAAATGAAGTTTTATTAATAGATGCCATAAAATAATCCTTCATTAAATCTCTTTAATTTTACCTTATTTATTATTTTAGAATCAGAAATCCTGATGTGCAAACAGCGTTGCGATCCCTTTGCAAACTCGGCGACATGGTGGTTGTCGAGGATGATGAGGACTCGGGAAGTCCACTTCACAATGAAGACAAGTTTGTATTTTAAAAAATAGCTCTTTCTTGTATACTAACGGTTTATTCGACTTAAATGTATCATTCTGTTAAACCTGTAATCTGTAAAGCAAAGCTGCAAAGCAAAACAAAGCAAAGCAAAGCAAAACAAAGCAAACAAAGCAAGCAAAACAAAGCAAACAAAGCAAGCAAAACAAAGGAAACCTAAACTAGTTCAAGTTCATAACTGTATCTTGCTAGTTTTGGTTTAAATAGATGTTCTAATGATGGAAAAAAACTTATTTAACCATAAGTTATTGATCTAAAATCTAAAAAAAACTCATCTATATTATTTAATATTTTTAGACACGGTGGAGAGGATTATTTGTTGTCGCGTCACTTGGCTCGTTTGGACAATCTGCAACAGAAAGCCGAAAAATACGCTTACTATATTCACAACAAAGATGGAGAAAGGTGAGCAGTTGAATCCATAACTGTATCTTGCTAGTTTCGGTTTAAGTTTATGTTCTAATGATGGCTAAAAACGATTTATATTATGTTCTAATGATGGTAAAAATCATCTACATATATATTAGACTTTCCAGAAATCTTTAAGATCTATTAGGCTGTCCAGAAAGTCATTTCGTTCCTTTTCGTACTTCTGTTTTTAAACCAACAAATGCACCAATTGATCTACCGTTTGTTTCATTAGAAAGCCCAATCATTTTTCTGTGAAATAACATTAAAATGGCTTTCAAATGTTTTATGTCTAGATTTTTTTGGGAACGTGAAGTCGGATAGTCAAAAAGGGCGGCTCGATGATGCTAAGAGATTTTAGAAAAAAGAAACCTATCTTGGTATCAATAGATAAAAGCTAGAGCACAAAAAGTTAGGTATATAGACAAATTTTGAGAGAAATTGACTCAGCAAATTTCTTCGTAAAGATTTTGATAGATTTTTACCGAAAAAACACTTTTTTTACTCTCGAATTTACTTAAAATTAAACCGAAATTGACTTAAAAAAGATGGGGAATTGAACAATAAACACTTTTTATTTAGAACAAAGGTCAATTGGTTAATTGGTTCATAGGTTAATTGGTGAATTTGTTATTTTTTTTAAACGGAATTATGAAAAGGAACGAAAAGACTTTGGATATCTTTATAATCTAGATATCTAGATATCTTTATAATATCTAGATAATGGTTATAATCTAATTTAAATCATCTTTAGATTGATGCAAGCAGTTGCGGCAGTCGAGCAAAAGTTCTTGACACTCGAAAAGGAGAAGGTGAAAATGCAGAAACAAGTCGAAGAGCACAAGAAAGAGGTCGAGAAAGCGGAAAAGGTAGATTTTGAAATTTTTGAAAGCTAGAAAGCTTTTTGAAAGCTTAAAACAACGTAAATAACGTGACAAATTCTTTTATCTACAAATTTAGACTCTCACGAAACACCTCAGCGAACTCCGACAAGAAAAAGACATCAAAGACAAGCTAAATAATCAGCTAAAAGAGAAAAACAAAGAGATCAAGAAATTCGAGAAACGAATCAAAGAGTTGACTGTGATGGCTGAAGAAAAGGATGAGTTGAGAGAACAAAAGGACAATATTCAAAAAGATCTCTCGGCTGAGAAGAAAAAGTATCAGGAATCGGAGAATCGCTTGAAGAAGGAAACAGCCGCGAAAGAGGAGCTGAGAAGACATCTGCAGAATGAGATCAATGGGAAAGATTCGGAGCACGCACGTTTGATGCAAGCACACGAGGAATTGAAGCAGCAGATGAAGAAGATGGAGACAGCGATGAATGCAGAGAAACAGAAAATGGGACAAGTGTTGCAGCAGACACAGGAAAGGGCAAAGAAAGCCGAATTGGTGACAATTGAGCTTGTGTACGAGCATGGAGTGAGGAAATTGGATCGAGGAAGAGAGGATGCCACGATCAATATGAATAAGATGGATGAAGCGGCGACAAGGTGGGGTTTTGAAAGATATTACGTTGGAGTTTAAGTCTTTACAGTCTTTTTTCCAGGCATCTTTTAAAAAATAATGTCGCCACTAACAAAATTACTATTTGAACTATTAAAAAGTTTAATTGTTTCTCTGCAAAATGGCTTTTTTGGAAATTCTTGGAAATAGTTGTTTTAATGGATTTTCAAAGGCGCAAAGGCGAGCGCCCAAAACTACTTCGATGCCGAAGTCGCAATTTGGGCACATTCTTGAATACAAATCTATTTTAGTGCCAAAGTAAAAAAAGATAGAGCTCATTTGATTACTTAATTCTGTAAAATTTGAAAACGATCCGTTCAGCGATTTTCTTTAAAACAGCAATTGAAAATTCTACACAAAACTGCCTTTTTGAATCGAGTTGAGGCGAGCTTTGAGCTTTGAGCTTTGAGCTTTGAGCTTTGAGCTTTCTCTCAAAAGCCATTTTGTAGAGAAATGATAGATCTTTTTAATAGTTTAGGATGCAATAAGTTTGGTAAAAGATACTTTTCATGGAAACAAAAATTTAAAAAAAATTGTAAAGACTTATGCACCAACCTAATATATCGGTAATATTAGGGTTGTTCCAGAAAGCTAGATCAGTTTCAAAGCCAAAATGTCTGCCAGGGCAGGGCAAAACCAGTTCAGACACTATTTTGAACCATTTTCTGTCTTGAAGTCAAAAGTTGAAAGCCAAAGAAATCACGGCTTTGGAGCTTGGCTTTGGCTTGTTCTGAAATTTCTAAGAAAAACCCTGGTCAAGACACCGTAAAGTTACAGGAATCTGTCTGATGATAGTAACCTAGCTACTAAAAGTATTCAACCGATAAGACTTGAATTACCTAATCTTAGCGCATTTCTAGTGAAAAAGACTAATATTGTATATTAAAGCTTAATGAATTTGAAAATGAGCCAATTCCAGAGCTGGCTCCACCGCACAACAACAAACCTTCTTGGCGTCGCGGGACGAATGGAAAGGAGTACTCGAAGAGATTCAACGGATGGTTGAAAAGGTTTGTATTTGATTTATACAATCGGTTAGGTTTCAAGGCTTGCAAAAACCTTTGTTATAGCTGCTTTGAATGTCAAGAAGCTAAAAAGGCACTAACTTCTGATTACAAAAGGGAACTTTTCAGGCAAGAGTCGAGTATTCGGCACAAGTGGACGCACTGAAGAAGGGAAAACAATTGAGCGAGATGACCAAATTCTTGATTCCGAAGCCACCACCCGCTCCAAAGATCATCACCATTCCGTCAGCCACCCCAGCCGCCATTCCAACACAACAACAAGTTGTGCTGCCACCTGAACCACCAAAGGTATTCGTGAGTTTGATTCTTTTTCATAGATTATAAAAGGATCATAATTTACTATGATCTATATCTATTAATTTTAGGCCTCACCTGGAGTGATCGGTTCTCGCACAAATTCCACTGCATCCCAGCTGCCTGCACCAATCGGCACAAATATCTCTCCAAAGAACAAAGCTCCCGGATCGCCGATTCAGAAACCGGTGGCCACCGTCGCTTCACAGCCACAAACCGCCAGTCCATGCAGACATCCAGGTAAGATTTTAGTTTAAAGCAAGTTACTCGAGACTTTGTTGAATCTATCATACCTATAGTTACATTTGTTACCTCTAGGTCTAAACCTTCTAGCTTGAAGTAGCTTACATTGAAAGCACACACACTTTTGCCCACTTTTGATCTGATTTTAGATTCAAGTCTATAGCTGAATATCTTTATTTTTCAGGAGCTATTGGCTCTCGTGCTAACGGCAACGAAGCAACTCCGAGCACCGCTGCCGCACCGGGAACTGCATCAAATCTGAACATGGGTGGATCGTGGCACTGGAATGATTTCAGTTTATCCGACAATTTGCTTGGAAATCGTGGTTTTGGGCCGCTCACAGACAATTTTTCGGCATCAGGTGAACTTTGAAATGAAAATCTAAAAATCGGAAAGAATGTTCTCGATTAAAGCTAGTTGCCAAAGCCATAGAGTTGATAAAAGATAGAACACTTATACTGTCGACTCTCGATACAACGATTTTGAGATTGTAAAGCACGCTCTTGTTTTCTGCGTAGCTGTCCAGCCAAACGCGATTGTTGGCCGTTCTGGGCAACTACGCACAAAATTTTGGGCACTTTTTAAAATCGTTAAATCGAAATTTTTGATCCCGAGCGAATCGTTGAATCGAGAGTCGACTGTAGTTAGAATTAACTTTGCAAAACAGTTTACAAACCTTAAGTACTAGATAATGCTCATTGTTTACCATTAGAAAGTAAAACTGAACAGTTCGAAAGCCGCTACAAGTCAAGATATCAGTCTTTTCCAGCTACTAGTCCAATCTTATTTTTAAATTCCCCCAAATTTCAGCGTCCACCAGCACCAACCCTGCTCCCACCACCACAACGCATGCAACGACAACGAATGGATGGTCGGGTGATGGATGGAATCAGAAAACTCCAACCGCCGTACCCCCAACAGCAAATCACAACTATTTGGGTAGTTTGGGGACAGCCAGTCCGAGTTATGCGGTTTGGGAGAATCCCGGTCCTCGCGCCCAACAACCACCCCAACAAGCGAACATTCCACAACCACCACAGTCTCAGCCACCGCCACACACTGCCGCTCCCGGAGCCCCGATTCAGCAGAACCAGGTTTGTACTGTCATAAAACTGTAGATATTTTTATAGTAAAACCTTTAGTATACTGTATTCAGTCATTAAGCTACAGTACTCTGGAGCAAGTACTGAGCATTTTTAGTTTATCTTTCAAGATACTGTAGAACTTAGAATATAGTAGAGTGTGTTTTCTAGAAGATGCCCAAGCTACTGTAATCTTTGCTTCAGGTTTTCTTTGAATTTCGCTTAATTTTGAACTTATTTGATGAGGAATCAAACTGTGAATTGAATGGGATCAAAAGTAGAATGCTCGGTTACGGTTACGGTAGCTGAAGGAAAGGTTACGGTAGCTTTTGGTCAGCTTTTAGAAAACGGATAAGTCTAAAGGATTTCTATTCTATAAATAAAAGATACTTTTAAATCTTTTCCTTTACAATTTTCTTCATTTTCAGAGAATCACACAGAAATACGGTGGCGAAGAAGCGTTTAAACATCAAACGATCCTCGAGCAAGTCAGCGAGATCTTTCGCCACGTCGAAAAGAAGAAATTGGTGAACTTGTCGAACGAGTACTGCTATCAGAACCAAACGAACTTCCAACACGAACCAATTCCGATTGCTGTGAAGATCCTGGAGAAGTACATCACACAAAAGGTTTGGATTGCTTGGAGTTCTAGGGTTTTTTTTGATTCAAAACAACCAATTTTCCAGCTGAACAACGAGACGAACGATGCGTCGAATCGTCGTGTGATGGGCACTCCGATTCAACCGCCACCCGGTGTCACCCCCGAGCTACATGAACATGGGTCCATTATCCGGTTTAGACATGCCCATCAGACAAACACCTAATCAAATGGTTGGTTCTTGATCTTTAACCGAATCACAGTGGTATCGATTATTAATTAGCTAAATCATATAGAGAAATCTATAGATTAATGTTGATATCTATTAGTAATTTAGCTAGACTTCTAACTAGAAGAGCTACTTCTAAAACCTTTAAATACAATGGTTCTTTTATAACTGAGCAGGAGCCAGATTCCATCCTGAAACTAGGACCCGATCAAGCAAAAAGCATAAAGCACCCTTTTCTGGGTTTAGCCATGGGTTTGTTAGCTTTAAAATGCTAGCTTAGAAAGTTAGATATTTTCAATACTAGACTGGCTTAGCTGACACATTAGACCTGTTTATTTGCCGGTCTGATTGTCAATAGGTGTACAACGAAAGATTTGGCCACTTCAACGACAACTTTTTCAGGATTTCTTGCTTCTACGAAGGTAGAAGCTTTTCAAGCTTAATCTTTTGGTCTAAAAGTGCCTGAAAAGGTAGTCATTGAAGTGGTCAAATCTCGTTTTCCCGTCGCACACCTATTCACAACCAGACTGAAAATGAACAGCTATATTTAGCCAGTCAGAATCCGGGCCAAGTATCTGGGTTAGCCCAGGAAGCCCAGGAAGGGTTAGCTGGGTTGCAGGAAGACTTGTGAAAGTTGGTTCAACGGAAGCTAGACATCGATCTTGCTGGCTTGTGTTTGAATTCTGCTTGGTTACGGCAAAATAATATAAACTAATATAGCTAATATAGTCTACCGTATAGCTGTTGTTGTGCTGGAGTTAACTGACTGACTGATTGGGTCTGATAGTTGAGATTGGGTCGAATAGTTGAGATTGGGTCGAATAGTTGAGATTGGGTCTGATAGTTGAGATTGAGCCTCTAAAAGTATGAAGTTGTATAAGTTTGATGTGCAGAGCGACAAAATACAAGAACAAATCGAACAAATCGAACAAAATAAGACCAAATAGAGCACCAGAAAAACTTGGTATTATGTAGGATCGGTGAAGTTGTTAGTGTTGTCAAATAGAAAACAGAAAAAGAATTTCCAGATGGGCACGTACAACACGATGATGGACAACTCGCTTCTCAACGGCGATGCCACTCGCTCGGTGATCGGCGCCGACAAGTGGAGTCTTCAAAATCTCTAGAAAATTCGTCAAGATCAAGAATGACAAGAATTACAAGAATTTCCCCCAAAAATCCTTGCTTTGCTTAGCTTAAAAACTAACATCTAACATCTAACATCTAAAGAAGAAAGAAAATCCGAAGAAAATCGCACCGCCAGGCGTTTTTTCTTTTTTTGGGATTCCCAGAATTTTTTTTTCCTCTAAAAATGTCCGAAGTCCGTCGATTTTTGTCAAAAAATTTTAGTGCTAGTGTCTGAGTTTTTTTTTTTTAAAATTCAATGCAAATCGAATTTATCCCATTCGAATTTGGAATTCAATGCAAATTTTGGATACAAATTTGTTGGTTAAATGCTAATTTCGCGTGTTCCTCCCCCCGGGCCCTTTTTTTTTTATAGATTCTTTTGTTTCGATAATTATTCACAATTTTTTTTTATCCCGTTTTTCTTGAAAACGTTTGTGTGTTGTTTTCTTGTGTACAAAAGATAACACGCGAAGTTTTTTTTTGTTTTTCCATTTTACACACATTTTTTGAATCTTTTGAATCTTTTGACTCTTTTGACTGACTTTTTTCTCTCTCTTTTTTCATTTATTCATTCATTTTTCCCTCCCTTTCCATCACACACACATCTTGAAAATATTTCTACTATATTATTTTTCTTTTTCTTTTTTTTTTTTTCGTCGTCGCTGATATTTTATATTTTATATTTACTTCTTTTTCTTTTCTACTATACCTACTAGCGTTCGAGGAACACTTTTTATTAATAAAGTGATTGTTGTGCGTTAAAGGAAAGCGCTTAAAATACAGGAAAAATAAAATTATCTTATTCAAAAGGAACTCGAAAATGTGTAGACATACAAAAGAAAGTAGAAAAATGAGAAAAATGAAAAATTCAAGAAAGAAAGAAAAGGAAACTACAATGAGAAACTACAATTTTATGAGAATAGGTACAAGAGCGCTTAGGCAAAAGATACTAGGCAAAAGATACTAAGCAAAAGATACTAGGCAAAAGATACTAGGCAAAAGATACTAAGCAAAAGATACTAGGCAAAAGATTTGATTTCATTTACAGCGTTCTTAAAACGAGGGAAAGATGCTAGGATTTCCGAGTTTAAAAGTAAATTATTTAACCCATTCGAAACTTCTGCAGCGAATAATCGCTGCAGCAAAAACTCAGGAACGGACCGCTGCAGCACTAATTGAACTATTTTCATTCAATTAATTGCTTTTTTTTTGCTGTTTTTCAGCATTACATGTATATTCCAATTGTAGCAGATCTACAAATTACGTGGGCAAAAAAGATGTTTCATATTTACCCGGAATCAATGCAGTCTCTGGTTTTGCATTGAAATGTTCCATAATAGCTCTAATCTTATAAAGCCGGATCCAGTTCTGGATCCGGCAGCCTCTGGATCTCCTGCAGGATCCAGTTCATTATCACAAAAACGCAGATTTCGAAGAATAGATTCAAATTTTGCTCTTGACCTAATGTGGGACATGTGGGAAAATCCTCCTAATCCAGGCCTGCTACTCCAGTAGTCACGAATCCTCGGTAATTTGACGATTCCCATTTGAAGCCAGGAAGAGCTTGAAAGACTTTGCATCGAAATCCTGCCAGTTTGTTTTCCTTTTTCCATGTTTATTAGATTCGCCTACTAAAATATTGTCGTCGATAAAATAAGAACAATAATCGATAGGATCTTGAAAAGTACTGAAGTCAAATCCAAATCGTTCTTCATCATGGTGTAGGAGACTCTTAAAATCTTTCCAACCATAAATAAACTGCTTCGGAGTCAAAATGTCAAAAATGCGCTTGGTCCGTAGACGAAAAAAGAAAAAACGCTGCGGTTTCGAAAGGGTTAACAACTTAGAAAGACGATTTGAGCAAAAATACAAGACAGTGTTGCACGAGGAGTTGGATCTTGAGAATTTCATAGAAAGCCCCATTTCTGCTTCGTCTTTGAGCGAGTTTCAGTAAATTCAATAGACTCTGAGCTTGCGAGTGTATTAACTGATAGGCTAAGGTCTAGTCTAGAAGTCTAGAAGAAGACGGCGGTGTTGCAAAGATTTGCGATCGAAAATTTTTAGCCTATCAAAATACGAATATTTCAAGCACTTAAAAGTCAAAGCATACAATTTTGAGAAAAGTCAACTTCTCACCGATGTAGCGAAAAAAGAAGAGGGAAGACGGAGTAAAGGAGCTTCAGCAGCATTGTAGTACTTATGGAGCCCAAGCTATCGACTATTCGGCGACTTTTCAAGGTCAAAACTAGAGCCAAAACTATTTTTAACCACTAAATATGCATTCTTTGACTTAAATTGACTGGTAGAGGCAAAAGAAATCGAAAAATATTGTTTTTATTTTGCGCTACGTTTAACTGTTTAACTTCAAAATTGGAAATTCCGCTGCCGAATCGCATCGTTCTCTCTGTGCTGCTTTCGGAGATGGCAGTTTGTCTCTCAGGCAGTGTCAGACTTGGTTTCAATGGCTCCGAGAGGGGGACGAGGCTTTGGAAGATTACGAGCACGGTTCAAGGCCAGAAGTCGTGAACGAAGCCAAGCTGAGGGACGTTATACAGGCCGATCCATGCCAATCTGCTCGAAATCTTGCGAAAATATTCCATTGTGATCATGTCACCATCGAATGCCATCTTTTTTTTGGAATTTACCGTCAAATCGGCAGTTCCTTTTGCACCACCCTCATATGTAACGGTAATTTTGGCTCACTCTGTAGTAAATATGCCATCAACAATGTTACGGTAACTCGTGTACAATCAAAAGTTTAGAAATAACTGAAAGATAGAAATAGAAAGATCTCCAAAAGCAATCTCCAAACGAGATTAGCGGTGGATTAGGGTATTTTGAGTTGGATTGACTATTAGAGTTGATAATAAGCCGTTTTACCATAGTTTTACCATTTTACCATTTATAACTATAAAGCTAGCATGCAAAAGCTACCGTAACTTGTATAGATTTGGTCTTTATCGATCTGAGTTACGGGAATATTACGTAATATAATATTACGGCAATATGGGCTACGGTGGGCGCGGGTTACGCTAAGCGGATGGCGTTTTAAAGCCAATCTCATTTGGAGTTTACTTGTTTGTTTGTTTAGCAGTTTCCGGCAGTTTCCGGCAACTCATGCCAACACACCTCCGCGATGCCCAAGTCGCGATTATCGAAACCAAAAGTGAATTTAAATCAAATTTTAGTGCATTAGACATCTAGATTTTCGCCTTTATTGCAAAGTAATCTTTTATTTATAATTATTATTTTAAAGAATTCAAATACATTCATTCAAATACAAGCATTCAAATACAGAAACCCGTCAAAATGAGTGTTTTTTCAATCATAAAACATTCAATGATACAACTGAAGAGAAATGAACCAAATATACATTTAAATTCGATCGAAATTATTAAGTTGAGGAAAAAGTAATGTCAGTTTTGATTTCCCATTGTTGGCTAGTTGGTTTTCCAGTTCTTTGCTTATGCGATTTGTTTTCAAATTGATATCACGTTATTTATAAGCTATTTTAATAAGATTTATGACTCAAAAAACGTCAGGTTATTTTTCTAAAATCAAACTGGGTACTAGAGCTTCAGCTTTTGGCTTCAGGGTCAGCTTTTGGCTTCAGGGTCAGCTTTTGGATTCAGGGTCAGCTTTTGGCTTCAGGGTCAGCTTTTGGCTTCAGGGTCAGCTTTTGGCTTCAGGGCCAGCTTTTGGCTTCAGGGTCAGCTTTTGGATTCAGGGTCAGCTTTTGGCTTCAGGGTCAGCTTTTGTCGGATCGGGTCGGGTCGGGACAACCTTTGACCTGAGCTGATCCGATCCGATTCGATCCGACCCGATTTCCCATGTCTACTAGATACTTCTGCATCTTTCCCCGTCAACCAAATAGCATAAATGTAAATTTTCCCCCGCTACTAGTTTAGAAAAATCATTTGGACTATTTTCTTCCTCTTTTACTATGTTTATATTGATTGATTCTATTGGGTTGAGGAAAAAGTAATGTCGGTTTTGATTTCCCATTGTTGGCTGGTTGGTTTTCCAGTTCTTATGCGATTTTTTTCAACTTGATATCACCTAGAAACTTCTATGCTTTTATATTATATTTGATTTTTAAATAAATTTTAACAAATTTTTACAATTTTAACAAATTTAACAATATTTTCAGGTACAAAATGCAAGAGGAAAAGTTTCGACTTCGAGCCGCTTTATGGTATGATTTTAAACAAGGGAAATCGACGAGCTTGGTTGGATGGACCAAAAAACAATCGACAACCAGGGAAATCCGCGGCTGAATCGCATCGGATAATCATTGAAATTTTTGGGGAAGACAGCATTAGCGAAAGACAATGCCAAGTATGGTTTCAGCGGTTCAAAGATGGAAATGAAAGTCTCCAAGACGAGGAACGGTCTGGACGACCCCAAGAGATTTCAGATGAGGATTTATAAAAATATACAAAATGCAAGGCGAAAAGTTTCGACTTCGAGCCGCTTTGTGGTATGATTTTAAACAAGGGAAATCGACGAGCTTGGTTGGAAACTTAACAGCTTAACAGGTTGGTTGGAAACTTCTCTGCCCCACGCACCTTATACTGGCTAACCTTGGTCTTCTTGGCGGTATGCCGCTTGGCATTGTCTTGCTGGAGGCTCAAGTCCTACTAAGTCTTGTCTTGTCTTGTCTTGCTCTTGTCTTGTTTGGTCTGGACCTGACCCCATCAGATTATTTTTTCTTTCGGTCGTTCAAGAGTTTTCTTATGGGAGAAAAGTTCGAGAATCATGCACAGATCAAAAAAAACAGGCGACACTGGCAGTCGACACTGGCAGTCGACACTGGCAGTCGACACTGGCAGTCGACACTGGCAGTCGACACTGGCAGTCGACACTGGCAGTCGACACTTATTTTGGCTCGAAAACTCGGCATTTTTGTTTAAGGATTGAATCAGGGACTTGCGACAAAGATGGGAAACAATTCATCAATAATAATTGAGAATATCTCATTGATTGATGTGCTTTTGTTTATGTTTTTAGCAATAAACAGTTTTGTGACAAAAACCAACATTACTTTTTCCTCAACTACATTACTTTTCCTCAATAGATAACAACCTCTTCTCCAGAGGAAATCTCAATCAATTTTAGCTTTGTTTCATTGACAGAGCTTTCTGTGACATTTTCAAACTCAAAAGAAGTAGTTGTTTGTGAAATGATGAAATTAGCAGTCGTGTTCTTGAATGTTTCCGAAAATTCGTAAGCTGTTGAGGGAGTTGTGGCGAAAGTTTTCACAAAGAAAGTCATGATTGGACGAGCGAACCAACGAGTCACGATATTACCTAAAATTCGCTTTTACTGTAAAGCTCAAAGCTCTAAAGCTTACTTGTAAGATCTAGGTTACGGTTACAGATTACGACAGATTACTAGAAACGCTTTCGACGACATTTTCGAACGCTGGTCGACAATGTAGGCTTTAATACATGCTCTAGCGCTACGCTCTAGCGCTACGCCTCTAGCGCTACACTCTGGCGCTACGCTCTAGCGCTACGCTCTAGCGCTACGCTCTAGCGCTACGCTCTAGCGCTACGCTCTAGCGCTACGCTCTAGCTCTACGCTCTAGCTCTACGCTCTAGCTCTACGCTCTAGCTCTACGCTCTAGCTCTACGCTCTAGCTATACGCTCTAGCTCTACGCTCTAGCTCTACACTCTAGCTCTACGCTCTACCGTAGCGCTCATGGCGCAGTGGATAGTGTGCTAGCCTCGACAGATTACTAGACTTTTTTGAACGCTGGTTGACAAGGTAGGCTCTACCGCTACCGTAGCGGTATACATGCTCTACCGTAGCATAGCTTTTTATCTATCGATCTTTGACATAGAATTGACCCCAATTTACGAGTTCTTCTCAAAAAAGAGAAATATTACGAAAAATCGAGATTCTCTATAATTTTTACACACAATGTAGAAGTTTTTGATGCTGATTCTGAAGCCGGTTTTAGTTTTTCTAGTGGGGCTTTGTAACGAGAGTTATTTGACATACAGACTTGACCCTGATTCGCCTTTTAAATGCTTTCTTTATCAATCCGAAATGTAAGCTGTGGCGCAGTGGATAGTGTGCTAGCATCGGGTTCAATTCCCATGCATACCTTGGGTTCAATTCCTAAGCTTACCTTGGGTTCAATTCCCCATGATGAATTTTTCTAGTGGTGCTTTGTAACGTGAGTTATTTGACATACAGAATTGACCCTGATTCGCCTCTAGTTACTTTGGACACGCTATACGAGTCCAAAAACAAAAAGAACAAAGCATTTACTTGTATTTTTGCATAAAAAGTAGGCTGTTTTAAACCGGCTAGACATTTTTGCATTTTAAATAAATTACCGTTTGATAGACACGAGTCAAAAGCGGCATCGGCTTCCAGCCTTGCCATCACGCAATCGATATGATAATCGTGATAGGCACAGCACTTGTTGATCACTGAAACGAATGCTTTGTTTTCTGGTTTTCTGCTTTGCAACGTTTACTCCCATAAATCACAATGATTCAAACGGGATCAATTCAATTAAAAACGCAATTTCAAAGCAATTTCCATAAACTATCATCGATTTAAGTGATCTATTAAGTTTGAAAGAAAAGAAAATCTTTATTGTGCCCAAATCGTCGATAGTTTGGGCTCCATGTACACTATAGCGCACTTTGAAGCTCCAAAACTCTGCTTAAAACGCCTTTTCCCAAGCTCTCGTTGTATTTTTCGGAATCTACGCATAAAACTACCCCAGGAAATCTACCTGGGGTAGTTTTCCAGCCTATCCCAAGCCTATCCCAAAAATTGACATTGGATTGAACGGGAAATGGATAGGGAAATGGAAATGTAAGTCAAAGGATGCATATTTAGCGGTTGAAAATGGTTTTGGCTCTAGTTTTGACCTAGAAAAGTCACCGAATAGTCAATAGCTTGGGCTCCATTTAGTGAAGTACACTATAGCGCACTTTGACGCTCCAAAACTCTGCTTAAAACGCCTTTTCCCTAGCTCTCGGTGTATTTTTCGGAATCTACACATAAAACTACCCCAGGAAAAGTGATTTTAAAGAAAAGAAATCTAGGATAGTATCAAAATTTCTTGAAATAAACTTATCAAAAAATTTTGGAAGAATTGATGGTTTGGTTTTTAAGAAATTAGAAATTGAGAACTTTTTCCGAGAACTTTCTTTCCAATCTAATAGAAAATCTAATAGAAGATCCGAATCTAATAGAAGATCCCAATCTAATAGAAGATCCCAATCTAGTAGAAGATCCCAATCTAGTAGAAGATCTCAATCTAATAGAAGATCCCAATCTAGTAGAAGATCGAATAGAAGATCCCAATCTAGTAGAAGATCCCAATCTAATAGAAGATCCCAATCTAATAGAAGATCCCAATCTAGTAGAAGATCCCAATCTAGTAGAAGATCGAATAGAAGATCCCAATCTAGTAGAAGATCCCAATCTAGTAGAAGATCCCAATCTAATAGAAGATCCCAATCTAGTAGAAGATCCCAATCTAGTAGAAGATCCCAATCTAGTAGAAGATCCCGAATCTATAATTCAAAAGCAGCGGAATAGCTTGTAAATGTAAGTGTCTTTGCCTTATAGCTTTTGCTATACACTTTTTCTACAAACTTGCTACAAACTACAAACTACAACTACAAACTTTCTTGTCAATCTAGTAATATGATAGAACTTTGACCGACAATCGGTGTTGAAAGTGAGCATCGAGACGCCCATCGATCCAATGTGTGAAGCGATTCCATTCCCACAATGCCATTCCGATCCGTCGTACTCGATCTCATTCTCGCAACTCGCTTTTCTCTAAAAAATTTGTTCTCGAAGCTTTCTAAAATACAAATCACTTGAAATTTCAGGGCCTTTACGGCTAAAGGCCGAAGCTCGCCAAGCTGGTGAGTTTTTGACTAACTTGCAGCCCTAGTTAAATGAGTTAAGAGTTAAATTAGCTCAAGAATAAACAGAAACTTTGAAAGCCAAAGAAAACGCATCAATTTATCAATCTTGTTTCTTTGTTCTATTCGCATTTGGTTTATAAAAGAGCAAAGAGCTAGCAAAAAAATTTTGGAGCTTTACGGTTATCGGGGTCGCGTTTTTGACCATTTTGCAGTCCGATTTTAGTTAGGTTTTTGTTAATAACTTTTGATAAAACAAATAGTTTTTAAAAGTTAACGTTTTAAGCTATCTAAATCTTATTAAAACTTTCTGATCTGATAATTTAAGGTGCTTAAAAATGAGCTGCAAGTTGGCGAAAAGATTTGGCCGAAATGGCCCGCCAAAAATGGCCGAAATTTTATTATCATTTATTTATTATTCTAACCTTGACTCTTGCTAGTTTTCCTGGTTTCGCAATCGATAAAGTGAATAATAAGAAAATGATGTGAAATCGGAGAATCATCAAAAGAAAGCTGAAATGCTTCTTGAGAAGTTTGAGAGAAAGTTTGAGAGAAAACACTGAGTATTTGAAGAGAGTTGTTTCTTGTTTCTGAAATTCTTTTTCAGAAATTCAGGCTCAGCTCTAGGCCGGCTTGGCTCAGCTCTAGGTCTGGCTTGGCTCAGCTTTGGTCTGGCTTGGCTCAACTCTAGGCCTGGCTTGGCTCAGCTCTAGGCCTGGCTTGGCTCAGCTCTAGGCCTGGCTTGGCTCAGCTCTAGGCTGGCTTGGCTCAGCTCTAGGCCTGGCTTGGCTCAGCTCTAGGCCTGGCTTGGCTCAGCAACAAGAAAAACAAGAAAGATTTGAATTTGAAAAAAGATTTCTTAAGTGATTATTTAAAGTAATCAAGATTTTTTTCAAAAATAAAGAAATTTTGCGCTCATTTTATCACAGAGTTTTACGGAAATTGCAAAAAAATTTCTAGACAATGAGAAAACAACAATAAATCACTGACAATGAGTGTTTGAAGAGTTGTTTTGACTGTAAACTTTTCGAAAAAGAATATTGAGTGTTTTGACGGCATTGTGCAGTTTTGTGTCTCAGGAAAACTTCAATTCAAATTCCTCAATTCTTCAATTCTTCAATTCTTTTTAAAATTAGAGAAAAACTTCTTTATGTTAGTTTTTTTGAACATGAAAAGTTGTATTTGATTAAAATAAACGTGAAAAATCAATTCCTAAAATTTGAACAAAAAAACAAACAAAAAAGTCACGGCAAATATTGGCTTGTACGTTGTGCTTTGAAATGTACATTGTACAAGAAGTGTACATTGTACAAGAAGTGTACATTGTACATGAAGTGTACATTGTATATGAAATTGTACATTGTACATCAAATTGTACATTGTACATCAAATTGTACATTCATTGAAACGCCGACTTTCTGGCACAACAATTTGTCTTTTTATAGCGTTAGAATGACATAAGTGTGAAGCATTTGTGCGTCAAAAAAGCGCTTGTTTCTCAGAGAGAACACACTGTAAATACTGTAATAGTACCCCACCGCCCTCGTACAGTCGCGTAGTCGCAAAACGTTTTCTAGTATTTCATTTCTTTCAAAGCACCTGTACTTTCAAAAAATGCGTCTTTGGTATCAAAAAATAGCTGAAATTCAGGGCTATCTTTTGATATTCAAACGAACACTGTAGCTTGAACCAGTGTCGAGAAAAACCCGTTTGAAGTTAGACTCCGCACGTGTATAGTCGCGTAGTCTAACTTTGAACGTGTTTTTCTCGACACTGGTATATGCTACAGTGTTCGTTTGGGTATCGAATGATAGCCCTTGAAATCTAGTATTTTTTGATATCAAAATAGTAGCTAGAAAAAGTCTAGGAGCTGAGAAAAAGATGATTTTCTCGAAAGAAGTTAGACTAGTCGCGTAGTCGCAAAACGTTTTTTAGTATTTCATTTTTTTCAAAGCACCCGTACTTTCAAAAAATGCGTCTTTGGTATCAAAAAATAGCCCTGAATTTCAGCTATTTTTTGATACCTCTGCGCGGATTGTAGGATAAACTAGTGTCGAGAAAGACGTGTTCAAAGCTAGACTACCGTATTTATTCTGATAAACGTCGCCCCTCCCCCTCGACCAACTTTAGATGCCTCGTTCTCAGCCCGATTTTATGCTACAATGCGCGTTTAGGTATCAAAAAATAGCCCTGAATTTCAGCTATTTTTTGATACCAAAACGAACATTGTAGCATAAACCAGTGTCGAGAAAAACTCGTTCAAAGCTAGACTACGCGACGCTCCGCACCGTCATTTTGGGGCTGGGGTACTATTACAGTATTTACGGTAGTATAAACTGTGTAATTAGTACAATTAGTGTAAAGCTTGTCAATCAATTACTTGCTAAAAAAGATTTCTAAACCACAAAGCAAGATTCATGACCGGTCGAGCTATCCATCGGGTGAGAAAATTCCCTTTTTGATATAAACATCTATCGAATTGTTGATCCGATTGTCGACGAGACTGATAATCCTTTCCACAATGATCGTATTGATGATCGTGGATATGGCAACAGGCATTGATTGCTAAAAATTGAAAATCATGCACAGAATTCGAAGTCATGCAAGGTTTAAGTGCGTATTGGCTTACAAGGGAAGGTCAACCGGGTGTGTGCTGGCCAATGACATGAGCCATAGCCCTGTCGACGCAGAATTTCACGCTGATTTCGAATATACTTCCCTTTTTGCAACACAGTACCCTGTCAAAAGTTATAAGCACTCAAAGTTTTGTATAGAATTTTAGAAATCATCTCTCGAGTATATAAGCAGATTTCCCAGGCTTGGCAGGTAGTGGTGGTCGGGTGGTAGGCTAAATTACAAAGTAAACCCTCTCTAGTTTGAGTCCGCAGTTATAGTTAAAATAGTTAAAAGCAAGCATTTTTATGAGAGATAGTTTGAAATGGAGATCAATTACGTTCAAAAAGCGGAAAAAAGGGTAAACTGCGGACTCGAACTAGAGAGGGTTTACCTTGTATTTTAGTCTACTACCACCCGACCACCACTACCGCCAAGCGTGGAAATCTGCTTATATACTCGAGAGATGATTAAAATTCCATACAAAGCTTTGAGTGCTTATAAGTTTTGACAGGCTGTTGTGTTGCAAAAAGGGAAAGTATATTCGGAATCAGCGTGAAATTCTGCGTCGATAGGTCTATGGTTCATGTTATT